AAGTCTCTCTCTCTTTTGTATTTTGTATTCTATCTATTTCATATTGAGACAGTGATTAGAAATTTATATAATCTATTAGATGCTCATATACTTGTGACACCAAGTCTTGGCACACACACTAGTAGAATTGTGAATTGAATTATTTTTCTTAGTTTTTATTTAATCAGAACCTTTTATATTTTCTTAAATTTTGCTAGTAAGAAGAGTTTAATTACTCAAAAAATTATTAAAAGAATAAATATATATATATATATATATTTAATTCAATAGTTAAATATATGTTTAATTCACTAGTTGGCTTGTCTAGCTGTGATGTTAGGTGCCATCATGACCTATAGGTAAAATTGGGTCGTGACATGTAGAGAATACTTGGGCGAATTTATAGGAAACGTAGCGGGGGTGTAACGATCCGACTTGTCGTTTTAAACATTTATGCTCCTTTCAACTACATGAAGTCTTGAATAGCTTCATATGAGGTATTATGACATGTGTGAATCGTCGGTTTTGATTTTTAGGTATTTCGGGATTAGTTCGGATGAATGAAATTCATGTTGGAAGCTTAAATGAAAAGAGTTGACTGGAGTTTCACTTTTTGTACAAACGATATAGGAAATGAGTTTTGATAATTCCAATAGCTCCGTATTATATTTTTGGACTTAGGAGTGTCCGGATATTTATTTGGAAGTCCGTAGTTGATTTTCGCTTAAAATGACGAAAGTTGAAAATGGAAGGTTTGGAAGTTTGTGTGGGAGTTCTTTATTGATATTTGGGTTAGAATCCAGTTATGGAAATTTTAATAGGTCCATTATGTCATTTATGACTTGTATGCAAAATGTAAGGTCAATCGGACTTGATTTGATAGGTTTCGGCATCGAATATAAAATTTGGTTATTTCTAGAATATTTCGACGTCGTTTATTCAAGCATAAATGGTAGAACATGAAGAAAATGAGATCCAAATTCAGTGTTGATTGAAGCATTAGATCCGTATTGAAATTACGGAGACATAGCAAAAAGAATCATCGAATTCGGATATCTTATGAGAGAGTTATGCCCATTTCCGTGCCGGAAAAGATTGTTTGTCGCTGCCAGCGCCCAGGGTAGCGTGGGAATTTTTGGGATGCTGGAAACTGCGCCACAGGCAGTGCCCCACGACACTTGTGGTGCTTGAACACTAAAAATCCCTATAAACGGGAGATTTTGCCATTTTTTACGAAAATAGAGTTGGGGAGCTCGGTTTGAGCGATATTCAGAGGCAAATTTCACCACACAACTTGGGGTAAGTGTTCTTGACTCCCTTGTGATTATATTCCATGAATTAATCTTCATTTTCGGCGTTTGATTATTGAATTTTCAAGAGAAATTGGAGAAATTTTCTACAATTTCATAAAATGATTTTTCGAGATTTGAACATCGATTCGGAATCGGATATGAGTAAAATTAGTATGGTTGGAATCGTAATTAAATGGGTTATCGGATTTGTGAGTTTCTTCGGATTTCGAGATGTGGGCCCCATTGTTGATTTTTCGAGCGGAGTTGGAATTTTTTGTAAATTGTTAAATTGTAAGCATTAGAGTAAATTATGATTAATTTGCACGTTGTTTGAATAGATACGAGTCGTTTGGCTGGAATTGAGGAGATAGGAAGGCGTATGCACTGTTTTGAAAGGCATTTTTTGGGAGAGCCCTGGGGTGAGGCGCACCAAAAACGCCCCGGGGCGATGGTGTGGGGCGAAAGTCTCAAGAGACGTACGCCCAGCAATTCGGAGCGTACGCCCGGGCGTTCGGGGCATACACCCGGATGTTTGAGGCGAGTTATTTTATTGAGGCATAAGCCCCAGAGATTTTTTTAAATTAAAATAAAATTTGTTGAATAAGTCCTTCATATAATACGCAAATTTTTAAAATTCAGCTTTGTAATTACTCAATAGTTTTAAAAAGGAACTGAAATGTATTAAATTTAAAAGTCAATACCCTTTTTTATTGATTGAAGCCCCAATTCATTGTCTTTCCCAATTCTTTATCTTGTCCGCTAGTTTTCTTCATTTTTATGTAATTTTACCTGTTTATAAATATTTACTATAATTATATTATTTTATAAAATATTAAAAATTAAATATCTATGGGGCTTACGCCTCACTGAGGCATATGTAAAACGCCTCTCCTTACGCCCACGCCTTTTAAAACACTGGGTGTATGGAGGTTGATACGCGCGGAATAAAATTTTTGGAGTATTGTACAACTTGCTCGATATTGGATTTGGCTTGTTCGAGGTAAGTAACATCTCTAATCTTGGATCTGAGGGTATGAACCCTGATTATACGTGTTATATAAATTGTTTGGAGGTGACGGGCGTGTGGGCGTGCACCGTAAAAATTGTGACATAATTGGTTTCGTGAAATTGTGTAGTTAAATAATCTTGGCATTATCCATGTAGTTTTATGTGTTAAAGAAATTGAGTTGATAATCATGTTAAAAATCATGCTAAGGCTATATGCCAGTATTATTGAGACCCATAGAGGTCATATTGCTGTTGAATTATTTGTTTAAATTGAAATTTCATACTCAGTCATATTCCTTCGTTGCATATCATATCTCAGTATCTGTTATTATTTATTGATATATCATATCATCATTTTAGCTGATTTCATGACATTGTGAGCCCGAGAGACTGGAGAGAGTGATGATTGAGTGAGGCCGAGGGCCTGATTGTGATGTTATTATTTTGGGATCGGGCTGCACGCCGCAACAAGTTTTATTTACTTATGCCTGGATCTGGCTTATTATAGCNAGATCTTGTCTGAATCATTTATATTTGGGGATGGATCTTCCCCTGGGGTGGATTGGCCTTATGTAGTACTGAGTGACTGAATGTCAGTTATTATGTATATATTTGGGATGGATCTTTCCTGGGCTGGATTAGCCATATACAGTACTGAGTGACTGTGCGAGAGTTGTTATTTATACTTGGGCTGGATCTGCTGTGTAAAGTGCCGAGTGACTGAGTGTGTTGAATAGTGAGCGTGATGAGTGGATAAGAGAGACAATGATACTGAGTACTCTGAGAGAGTGTGTACATGAGTTCATCATTGTGATGTTTTGTATTAGACATGCTTACTTGATATGTAGGCATAGAGAAGCTTTTTCCTCGTGCCATCTGAAAATGAAACATACTATCCGTTGTTGGAATGTTAGTTTTTGAAAAATAATTCACAGATTTCAGACTTAATCACATTTTCGGTGATTTCGAAAAAAGATTTGAGTTTTACTGTTATACTTGAAAAGAAAATATTTATTTTCCGGAATTGTATACGAGCTGAGCATTTTATTATTGAGTTATTACTTGTGTTGCTTTAAATTGTGTTGTTATGAGATGTTATTGGTTATTGGTGTGGAGTCTGACCTTGGTACAAGCTCGTCACTACTTTCAACCTAAGGTTAGATTTGTTACTTATTAAGTACATGTGGTCGGTTGTACTCATACTATACTTTTGCACCTTGCGTGCAGATTTCTGATGCTGATGTCGCTGTATATGGCGGGATCTAGCATTAAAGATGTACCTGCAATCCAGTCACAACTGCCTCTTTTTCGTGGTAGCTTTAGAATATTTAATCCGTTCATGTATATTTCAAACAGATGATGTATTTTTATTTCACACCAACCTTGTAAATTCTTATCTTAGAAGCTCATGATTTGTACTACCAGTTCTTGGGGAGTGTATTAGAGTCAGTTAAATATTAATTAAATCGGATTGTTGTTATTTGGCTTACCTAGCGGATGAGGTTAGGTGCCATCACGGCTAGTTGGATTTTGGGTCGTGACAGGGGGAGATTCCGACAATAGGGAAAATCAAAACCCTAGACTTTTCCAATCTTGTCTACAATATTTGTTTTGTTAGTAATAAAATTACAACTTTCTAAATACTTTGCTCTTAGTTAGTTAACGCTCAAGCCATTATTTAATATTTTTGAAGGCTGATTACTTGAATTCTTGCGAAACTAGTGGTTGTGATTAACAGGTTAATTTTCCGTGATATTTGACTCCGGACTTATAACCGGATTATATTTGCAACGACCGCTAGACCGCTTAGGAGGCATAATTGAACGTGGTCATTTACACATTCCAATGTATCAAGATAACAATTAAGTAAGGTTAATTTAGTGAATACATCTTTTTTTCTCTAGAAGTTCGTATTTTCTTAATGGGTGTGCCAAATAAATAATCACTTATTGTGGACCAGAGAGAGTAACTTCAGTGATAAATACTTAGGCAAAGTAATTGAGTAATTTTTCGTTACAAAAATAGTTTATTAACGTTGATATAAACAAAAAAAATTGGAATGACTATCCAAAAGTAACACTGATTCAAATCAGAAATTGAACAAAAAACTTAAAAGTCATCATTTTTCCCTTTATTGTAACTAAAAGTTTTCCAAAGTTGCATGGCTAAAAAGTTAGGGGAGATGTTAGGCCTTATCAGGAAAATGGCAAAAAGGTAACAAAAGGAAGGCATCATATTCGCTTGAAATAGTGTTCATAGCACGATTAAAGAATTAGGTTCCAATAAAATATGGAATTTACACCTTTATGTTTCCTCCAACTCCCAAGTATTTGTCCGAAAGCTCTCGTTCAAGGTTTCTGAAACGTAGAAAAATATTCCTCCATCAATATCGTTTGATGATGAGCTACACTTAAGTATATAGTCGACCACCTTGGATTTATTAGTGCTTATTCTATTCTACAGACATCAAAGGTCTAGAATATATTTATCTTTTAACTTACATACATAGAAGGTGTAGAAAAAATATTTATTCAATCATGTTTACTAAAAAACAATTGCAAGTATTTTCGAAATTTGATTGTGAGAATGAATTAAATAATTCTTTCTTTTAAATTTTATGGCATAGTTTTACCGTGCACGGGATTTGAAAAAAGAAAGGGAGGGATCGGAGTATTAAATTACATAAAGAGGAAGATGAGTCCAAGGTGAATATGGCTTATAATGGCGCGGGACAAAGACAAGGACAGGCAAAATTGATAACGTGAATAAACCTTAATATATTCTTTAGTATTCTCCACTAATGAATAACTAGATGGGTAATACACTTACATGCAAGTCAAATATATTATCTTATTTATTTCCAGCATTAGATAATTGCGAGCATCATTAAAATATGTGGAATTAGGTAAATCAGGTCGGATTAATGAAGCAATTATGTGAGAGGATTAAGGAGAGTTAGGGTGATGAGAACTCACGTTATGGCCGGTTTCATTTCTTTTAGCAACTTATAGGCGTCCTGGATAGGGAAATCCAAAATGTTTACTACGTATAACATAAAATTAAATGATTATATATGTACATACACACTCATGCATATAGATACTCCTAACACAAGAAACAACTTAGCGAGAATAAGACTTAGTGGTTCTTGCTGTTACATAATGTTACATTTGATTAGGTGTTTGTTAAAACTTTATTTAATCCGCTTAGAAACTTGTATATTTGTATAAGTATTAATTAGTATTAGATAATAGTAGCTAATTTACTTAGAAACCAAATTATCTGGTATTGAAATGACGAATGCAACTTGAATACAACAGAATGAACACGGAGAATTAGCACATCTACCTAATCAATATGGATCAAGGGCATGATACACAAAACGCAGATGGCTAAAGCATAATCACATTCAAGAATAATAAAGTTGGTTGATTCCCTTATCTTCCTTGTCCTCAATTCCTCTATCTTTTAGACTTTGTGGTTTATATTTTTAGTACGATTATATTTTTAGTACGATTGGCGGCGACGGCAAGGATGTTTGGGTCTTTGATATTGACGAGACTACTCTCTTCAATCTTCCTTACTATGCTCGATCCGACGTTGCCTTTGGGTAAAAAAATAAATAAAATTAAACGGGTTTTAATCTATTTTTTTTAGTTGAACTTCTATACTTTGAAAGTGTAAAATTATGTGACCTAAAAGATAACTATATGTAATTGCCTATAATGAATGAAATTAGTAATCTTAAAAATAAGGCAAACTACTTCTTTCAACATGTTAAATTTACTCTAACAGTATAAAAAACGCTTTACACGTTAGTGTATATGTCAGTGTTTATAAATAAAATATGAGCATAATTATATATTTATATGTTTAGCTTCTATAGGTTGACACTGTAAAAAATAGCTAGGACTAATTTAAAAAGTAAGATTAATAACCTAAAAAGAGAAAAGCATGTTAATGTTACCACAGGTAAAAAAACATACTGATAGTATAAAATTTTGATGATTTCTTCTTTGATGCATACACTTTCGTTTTATAGCTAGTAGGTATGCAAGCGGTTTAATGCATTTGATTTCAGGGCAATACCGTTCAACAATGCGAAGTTTAATGAGTGGGTGAGCGAGGGAAAAGCACCAGCTATTCCAGCAACACTTCGTTTATACAAGATGGTGTTGTCTCTTGGGATCAAGCCTGTATTCATAACAGGAACTCCAAGGTTCACCAGAAAAGCAAGAATTGCCAATCTAAAGAAAGCTGGTTATACTTCTTGGTTAAAGCTCGTTCTAAAGTAAGCATATCTGTTTAATTTCCTTCCTCTACATATTCTCTTGGTATTAGTATTCCTATTATGCTTCTTCTCTCTATTATTTTTTTCAACTGTAAAGATTGAAATAATTAGTAGTATTTGTTTTGGGAATGATTGATGATGAATGCAGGGGAAAAAATGATTCACCAAAATCAGTAGTGTTCAAATCAAGCAAGAGAACAGAGCTGGTGAAAGCTGGATATAGAATTGTTGGCAACATTGGAGATCAATGGAGTGATCTCATAGGAGACAACGTGGGTTCTCGTACTTTTAAAGTCCCTGATCCTATGTACTACATTGGTTAACTGAGATCGCTGTCTTTCTTCTTTAAGCACTTAATAATAGGAGTAATTAATAACAAAAGCAGTGGCTTTCTGTGTTATGACATGTGAGACGCTAAGCTCACTATTCCAGTATCAATGTGATGAAACGTCATTTACTTTTCCCTCCTTTTACTAGTATTATATATACTCCATCTGTAGTTTAAATTTATGTGAAACTTATTTGACTAAACACTTAATTGAAGAAAAAAGAGAAATACTTTTGAACTTGTGGTATAAAATGAGGCATAAATACTTTATATCTATAAAGATAAATTATTTTCAAATAAAAAAAGTGATATTTTTTTACACAAAATAAAAAAGAAATAGGTTCTGACAGAAAAGAAAAGGAGAGGGTATAATAATAAGCCGCGATCTTAATTTTCACAAAAGTTAGCACGAATGCTTTTCTAAATATTCTTTCTAAAAAAGTAGTCCAAACACACTTCTCTAGGTGATTGGTAGCTCCACTAGGCCATCGAAATTCACGGTGGAGTCGTCCCATCGATAGCTCGAGGGAATATATATATATATATATATATATATTAGTCGGTTTGATTTGATTTTTATTAAAATTAAATCAAATCAGCTATTATGGTTTGGTCGATTTGGTATATGGATCTTTTTTGATTTTTTGTCACATGAAAATTATTTCAATTTTATCTTTTTAGAGTTATAGCTGAAGTTTCGATAAATTAATGGAGTATATGTTTAGTAAGAAACAAATACAATGACAAATATAGTATGAGGTATTAAAATATTCTTATGTGAAAATAACTTCGGTAAACAATAATAATTTCTTATTGATAGTTATTTATAGTGTAATGTAATAGTTTATTTGTTTGATATAAGCTATCAAGCTTAACTGAATTTCAATAATCAACACAAAAGTGCTAAGACCTCCATTAGATAACCGAAAAAATATAAGAGTTTGAGTTCTTGACATATGAATATGGAAGAACAAATAGATTGATGCATTATAAACACTTGATAAGAAAGTAATGTTACACATTAGAATCAAGTATTATTTAAATTAAATAAAACTGAATACCCTTTATAGTTTTATTAAATATTACATCTAATGAAAGGAACACAAATATTTCTAGACATTATTTAAAAAAATCCTATATGAAGTTTTAGAATATATATAAAAATTATATATTCATATATCAATTTAGTTCTGATTTCTTACGCAATATCAAACCAAACCAAACCAAACCAAATCAAACGTAGTCGGTTTAATTTAACTTTTCAGTTTTGTATGGGTCAAAATCTATCTTTAAAATATTTAAGTTGAGATAATACTGGGGTAAACCTTCCCAGGTCGTCGGTTATCGAAATGACCTAAGAAGCGGCGAAGTCTGTGGTCGAAGAGTTAACCAGGGTTGAATTCGAGGAGTCAACAAGGATCGAGGCCGAGGTCGAGTACTCTTGACAGAGTTATAACGACTAGTTTCAAGATAGGACTTTAAAGAAAATATTCTAGTGGATATTCTCTGCACTTGTACTATTAGGAGTTTTAGGAACATGTTCCCTATAAATAGAAAGAGAGACAATGATAAGGGACATGCGATATTCATTTGTAAAAAATACACTTTGACTTTAAAGAGAGAATCAGATTTCATTGCAAGAATACAAACATCACCTTTTTCACTAAGATTCTTGTTTAGACTTTTTCACTAGATCCAAGAATAACTCGGATATTCAAAAGATTGTCCATCACTCAACATTGTGAGAAAAAATATTCATTGGTTCCATCATTTCTTGGGTGCTTCATTCATTCTATTTGCTTAAATTCTATTTGTTGCTATTCATCAATATTTAATGCTACATTATTGCCTTTGATTTCTTGAGTATTGACTGTATGTTGTCGCCGTTATCAAGATATACCTATGTAGTATTTATTGCACTTTTGAGAACTCTATCTTTGGGATATTATTGTTAGATAAAATTAACCCTCATACATTTAAATTTAATTAGTTGAACCAAGATATATATTTTTTGGTCAAACTATTTGGCATCGTCTGTGGGGATTCCTTAGTTAAATTTTTAGTTTCCTCTAGATCTACAATTAACGCAAGTCACTAACGTCACAAACCCCGAGATCTCCTTTCTTTGTGCATACAAAACCATATATGGTAGGTAACCAAGGAGAAAGGACAAAAATAATAAGTGACTTCCCAACCAACCTCATGAATGTCATCAACGAAAGCTGTGAAATAGTAGGTGAGGACACGATGCCCAACGCGTCCCCTAGGTGAGAGAGGTCACCTCCCCCACACTGCAATATAGCAAAATCTAGCGAAAAAGGGCCTTTACGTTTGCAGAAGAAAGGATGCCCCAGCTGTGAAAAATATCCTTGAAGCATGGCTGATCGACACGCTAGTGAGCGTCCTCAACAAACCCGCTCCAGGCATGACTGCAGAAAACGCAAAAGCTTGCATGATACAACAAACAAACGAGGTGTGCAACCGACCATCTAACGATAGGTATAACTCACAATATTACTAACAGTGCAAGTGACATCGCCCTTGCTGCTAGGGCTGCTTATCGGGCGGATCATACAGATTGTTACTCTTAACGGTTCGGCTTATCGATTATCGGCTCGTAAATGTACTAATCCGCTAGCCAAACCGATAGGATATCAGGCAAATTGATTTCGGTTTCGCGATTATCGGACGGTTATCGGGCGGTTTATCGGCTAAATTAAATAGTAATGAGTGCATATACCACTTGACATTAAATCACCAAATTTAAATCTTAAATTCAACCCGTTTATATAACATTGTCATGCCCGCATTTCCAGAAGTCACTAACTGGAAATTTATGTTTTCTCCTTAGAAGATCTGGTCAATATGGATATAGCCATATACTAAATTAGTGTTGCATATGGCTCTTTTCTTTCTGCTATTGCATCAAGCCATATAGCCATATGCAAGTGCATTTTCACAACTGGCAGAAGTCACAAGAATTTGAAAGTGAATTTTCAATAGTCTAATATCACTAAGTTAGTATATGTGATAAAACAATAATAGTTAATATCTTAGTGAACCTTCTGAACGTGAATAGTAACTGTTACTTTGTCAAATAGTGAAAGGAATATTTAATATACTTAGGGGTAAAAATACAAATATAAAAATTCTTAACGGGTTAACAGTTTATCCATTAAGAAAATTGAATAGTTCGTCCCCAAATCGATAAGCCGTTAATTATAAAATTTCAATGCGTTCACCAACCGTTAATCTGATGACCCGATACCAATAAGCGATTAAGCCAAGTTTGCGGTTCGATTTTCGGTTACGGTTAGGTTTTGAACAGCCCTACTCACTGCCATTCTAAAGAGGATGGAAGAAATGGAGGAATGAAAACAAGGCATTCCGAGACCAGATGAAAGAACAGCAAGAACAGGTTAACAAGATACCGGGTGCTCCTAAGTTATTGCCAAATGGGACGCCGACAGGTTCGTAGAGCAGCCGTACAGTGATAACACAGCCCCGCATGCCATACCAAAAACCTTCAAAATGCTGCCATACCTCAGGATATACGACGGAATGACCGATCCTGAGGATTATGTGACTCACCACGTCACCGTTGTGAAAGGCAACGACCTCGCCAAGGAACAAGTGTCATTTAATTTGCTGAAGAAGTTTGGCGAAACCCTTACAGGAGGGGCATTAACATGGAATTCACAGCTTCCAGCCCACTCTATAGAAACGTTCGAGGAAATGACCGATAAGTTCGTAACCGCCCATGTCGTAGCCAAGAAGGCCGAAGCAAGAGTAAAAGACATATTCGCTATTAAGAAGTTCTTGGGAGAGAGACTGAGGGACTTCCTCACCTGGTTCAACAGAGTAAAGGTGACTCTGCCGAACATATCCGAAGGGATGACGGTCGCAGTTTTACAAAACGGGCTGAGTAGAGATGGTTCAAGAGCAACTAGAAAAATGTTGAGCCTATTGATGAAGTATCCTCCAACCACTTGAAATGAAATCCATAATGCTTATTATGCCGAGGTTCGAGCAGACGAGGATGACCTCAACGGACCAACTCACCGGCTAACCTCGGTACAAGCCGAATCCATAAAATAATGAAGAGACAACACCGAAAGAGATCACCTGATTCCGTGGCCTAACAGGGAACGACAACAACCATATATCAGGATGGTCGTCGCGCCTCCACCCCGCTATGAAGAAGGTCCACCCCGGCAAAGGACGGGAACTCTCCGGAACGAAAGAGGTATGGCCCCTTATTATCTGCTCACAATTTTTATGTGTCACCAACATAAATAGTCTACACTCTTGAAAAACTCGGAACAAAGGTGAAGTGGCGGCCGAATATGAGATCAGACCCGAACACCAGAAAATACGACGCCCTCTATGAGTTCCACAAGGAATGTGGGCACAAAATAGAAGATTGCATCGCCCTCAGACAAGAAGTCGTAAACATATTACGGCAAGGGCACCTCAAAGAGTTGTTAAGTGATAAGGGGAGAACCTACTTCGCCAGAGGACGTGAACATCAAGGCCCTCCAAAGCTGCCATCGCCAGCTCGTACTATAAACATAATCATCGGCGGTGGCGACGATGCCTCTATCAAAGGAATGAAGTTGACCACCACTCACAAGCTCAAGCAGTCTATCACCCGTGAACAGTATGACGGACTCGAAGAAAGTATCATCTTCGACGAGTCGGATGCCGACGGTTTGACTTTTTCTCATAATATTGCCATCATTATTACTTTGATCATTTTAGATACCGATGTCAAACGTATCACAGTGGATGATGGAAGTGGCGCATGCATTATCCATCCCCGAGTCCTTACCCAAATGAGACTCGAGGATAAGATAGCGTCGCGCTGCATCACACTAACCGGTTTTAATAATGCAATTGAGTGGAGATCCGGGGAAATTACACTCCCTGTCTTGACCAGCGGCATGACTCTGGAAATAACATTCCACATCATAAACCAGGCCACTACGTACAATGCCATAGTGGGACGACCATGGATACATACCATGAGAGCCATCCCCTCCAGCTTATACCAAGTAATTAAACTCCCAACACCATGAGGAATATTAAGC